CCACTGGTCCACTGGTCCACTGGTCCACTGGTCCACTGGTCCACTGGTCCACTGTTCCACTGGTGTCCGTTCGTACTATTCCTCTGTTCCCACTGTTCCTCTGGTCCACTGCACCCACTGGTCCGCTGTGCCCACTGTTCAATTATCCTCTGTACCCATTCACTTTACCCTTCTGCTACATCTATCAGTTAATTATAAGTTATTTCAGAACCCGGTATATAAAGTCAGGCAAGTCATTAATTCAGGAAAACATTGAAACAAAATGTTTTTCTTTTCTTTGAAGATTGTGAAACTTTTGAGCAGACTGACGTTTGTTAGTATTTCTGATTTATTGATGTTATCGCGAATCCAAACGTCCTCTCTCTTTTCATCGAAATCAGTTGATGTAAAATGGTTTTGCAGTCTGGTATTTCGTTGACCTCTTTCCTTTCCGTTTTAGTTTATTCTTATTTAATTCCCCTCTAAAAAAATCAATGCAACACAAAAATTGTGAGATATTCCTGTCTTTATTTTTTTAGTTTCTTCTCCGTAGATTGGAGTTTTCTAATATCCAAACAGAAACTTCGGACCTGCAGATTAAGAAATCATCGAATAGAGTTTTGCTGTGTAGTGTTTTCTAATTAGATCTGAATAAAATCACTTGATTATGAAAAAGGATCGCTCGGGAAAGCTAAGCGGTTTGGAAGAAACTACATACCACACAAGGTGGTCTCAGTTTAATAAGGGAAATATTCAAGAATTACGCTTTGCTCTCTGTTCATTAAGTAGTTGGATACCGTTATCAAATCCTCGAACAATCAAGAACTGAAAGCTAAGACTAAGGAAGAAAACTGAAATGTTTACGTACAAGCATAACGACAAGTTTGCAGCCAAATCACACAATTTTTCACATGTTCCAGCTTGCGCGACCTGGTATGAAAAGACTCATATCTTAACTTGCTGAAACCTAACAGCTCAATAAAATCTCGAGCCGTCTAAGTCATCATATTCCAAAATAAAATAAAACGCTAGACCACGCAGACTATCTCCAGGTCAACACAACTCGATATCAATGCGATTACGAGAAACAAAATTCGACTCCATGGTAACTTAAAGTTTTTGAAAGACTTAGTAACTGCTATCAATTCGATAATAAAATAAGAGAATGCGAAAATCACCAACTTATACTTTATCGGTCAGCTTACTGGCTCGAAGGCTTTTCTTTGTCTCGAATGATTCGCTTAATCGTGAATCTTTCAGGCGCAGATGTTCCAGATGGCAGAAGGGACTCTTCAATGCTTCGCTGACAGTTGTGATGCTGTTTCGACTGATAATGTTTCTTCCCAAGTCAAGACGACCCAGCTTGCAATGAGGACTTCTAAATGTATGTGGTAAGCCAGCGATGCCCTCATCACCAATGTCATTTGAATCCAGCACCAAAGTTTGGAGTTTGTTGCTATGAATCCTGAGAGCAGACAACAATTTTGCAGCTCCTTCATCACCAATATGGTTACCTTCAAGGTTTAAACACTGTAAACAGTTGGGCTTTCTGATTGCTGCTGCTAAACATTTGCAGCCCTTACACTGAATTTGATTGTGGCTCAAATCAAGTTCTCGTAGGCCACAGTTTGGACTACTCAGGCTTTTAGAAAGACTTTCTACTCCGCTGTCACCGATGAGGTTGGAGCTCAAGTTTAGAATGATGATCCTGCATTCTAAGGAAGTTAGAGCCTCTGCTATTTTCTCTGCTCCAGCGTTTGTGATGTTGTTGCCAGCGAGGCCTAAACGTGTGATTTGATTATGCAAACAGTTTAACACCTTTAAGCAATGGATGACTCCCTCGTCTTGTATTTTGCAGTGGTTCAACTCCAGACACTTTAACTTGCAGTTTGTATCCATGAAACAAGGCAACAGTGCTTCTAATCCCACTGACTCAACGGTATTTCCACTCAGATCAAGTTCCTCTAAATTCTTTAACGTATGAAATATCGAGATGAAGGAATGAACGCCTCTCATACCAATGTTGTTCCAAGCAAGATTAAGCGTGCTTTGTCTAAATGACGCCAAACACATCACTCCGTCGTCTCCAATATCGTTCCAGGATAGATTCAACTTAGTGATTTTACCATTTTCGTTTTGGAGAACTTTTGATAGATGTTCAACGCCTTGACTACAGATCTCATTACAGCTCAGGTTCAACTCTTCTAAACAAGTGTTTGACTCAAGTGCTAACGATAACTTTGATACACCATCGCTTGTTATGTAATTGTCAGCTACGTTTAACGTCTTCAGTCTACACTCCCTTTTCTTAAGAGCTTCAGTAAGTTCCTTAAGTCCCTCATCACCCAGAACGTTGCCTTGTACATTCAAGTCTTCTGTTGGGCCCTTACCAGGAAGCAATAATTTCTGCGTGAGTTGACGTGCGCCCATCACGCTGATTGTGTTATCCGATAAATCTACACTACTGATGGAAGCGAATGGTGACGTCCCTAACACATTTGCGAGAGCAGAGCATTCTGCAACTCCAATCTCACAGCCAGAAAACTCAACGATAGGGATCATCTTGCTCGCCACCTCACGTGAGATCTTTTCATCCTTTATCTCGGCCGCACATTTCAACATTAATAGCTGAAGTTCATTTTGCCTTCTCTTGTCTTCAGATTGAGACACACTGTACAACCCTTTGACGAGATCAATCATTTCTTTCTTTTTTCGGTCTGAGGCCTGTGAATCACAAAATTGCAGACCGCAAGCAAACTGAAGCACTTGGTCTCGCTTTCTCGAACTGTTATTCTTTACTTGCTCGACTAACTTCTTTAGCCTTTTTAATGACCTGTCGGACACAACAAAGTAGGCTGCGAGAAATTCCCGAAGAAAGTCGCATCGGAAAGTGAACTGCACCTTTTCGGAGTCATCTGTTTGTCTCGTTCTTTTGAAGTAACGCGGAATTGCTTCCTCAGATAACATGGAGCGAAGGTAATCAACGTCAAACACAGTCATTTCCTCATCAATACTCTGCATTGCCAAAGAGCAGACTTTTGTGTCAATTTCTGCCAGGTTATGAAGAGCAAACTGCTTTTTTGAGGATGTTTTTCGCTGGGTGAGACCCTGCGTAGGAAAGCTTTGAGTTGATGTCGTAGCAGTTTCCGGTGGTGACCTTGAGTCTTCTGAAGAGGCCTCTACAACATTTTGTGAGCTTGGTATGTGTGTTTCTATTGCACTCAGGCTGGTTGGCTTCCTGGTAGTCTGTTGCAAGCAGGAAATAATTTGTGCTATGCCAATATAGAGTTCGGTGATGGTTTCAGGGAGGTTCCCTGCGGTCTCTGGCACAACTGCGCCATTGGAGCCTCTTAACCATTTCATGAGAGTGCAAATGTAGAAGCAATGTAGTGGAACACAACATATGGAAAGTGTGTTGTCTGTCAAATTCTCTTTCAACCTGGCAGTGGCCAACTCGTCGTCTTCACAATCGTCACTGTTTGAGAAATACTTCTTAATGTACCCATTGATTTCACTCGGAGAAAATCCCATGAGTTCTGTTTGACTTGCAACGCCGAACAAATTTGCAACACTGTTCTCTGTAAGCCTAGACAAGGTTAGAACTGTTGCACCCTTTAAGATTTTTCCAGTCACAAGTTTCTTCAACAAGGCTGAAAAGGGCATTTTTTCTTCAAAACTATCGGCGAAGTCAGATTCCTGGCATCCAGATTTTGGTTCGCAGACGTTGTCAACCACGATTAGCGTCGCTTTGGGATTTCTTTTCACAAAATCAAGGAGGTCTTTAGGAAGATCTAAAGAAACCTGGCGGCGGATTAAATCCTCGAACGAAATTCCGTCGCCAGGAGAGTCTTCCAGAGCTTTAAAATCGAAGCAAAGCAGAATCTTGATGCGTGACGTGAGTGACGACTCTTCCTTTGCCCAGCCTCTGACGATTTTTTGAGCTAAGGTGGTCTTTCCCATTCCTGCCTTGCCTGTTATCGAAATACTCCCAAAAGCCTCCAGACTCTCTGAATTTTTTGCAGCTAAATATTTGTTTGCCATAGTTTTGGGGCATTTTACCCCTGACAACACTGGTCTTGTAAACATATCGTCCAGTTTCAAGGCATCGACGTTGTCAAGGGGAGAACTGTCGATATATTCTGTTTTCGTCGAGTAAATATTCCTCATGTCAACCAGATATTCTCTTAAAGGGCTAACATATTCGCAAGAAGGCTCGCGATACTCACACACCTCGCTCAAGTGGAGGCGAAACAAGCCAAACTGTTGATCCGTTGGCATAACACATTCACACCAACAGCCATTATCAAGGTGTTCTTTCCGTTGGTTTGCATCTCCAATGAAGATTGTTCTACTTCTCGACCTTGTGAGACTCAACAGGAATATGAATTCAAGTAGAGAGAACAATGTTAGCACCACAATAACTAGTAAGACTGTGGTCTGCAGGGCAGATTTCGCTGTTCGAAACTTATCAACACAGGTGATACTTGCATCTTCCAAGCCGGGAACGACACAGTTTAGACGAACTGGGAACGTGTAAAAGACAAGGGAGATGTAAACGAAAAACATTATAACGTTATAACAAAGTCTTACAAAGAGTTGCAAGCAATAAACGGCGTAAAGACCACATAACGGTGTTGTGTTTTTTCTCCTGCGGAATCGCCAAAGCCTGGGAACAATGTAAAGAGTGTAAATTAACAAAATGGCAAAATAAACGCCACCATATATTCTTATGAAAGGCCGTTGCATTTTCAAAGCGGGGCTGTCACTGTCAGGACATTTCACATCAAGATACTCTGTTGTGCCGTTGCAAATAAGGTAATTGCCTCGAGAATAAAGTACTTCCAATCCTATTAAAGTTGCCAAATACGAAACGAACCATACACCAACTTGAAGCTGCCCAAAGTATGTTTGAGACTTCCAGATCAGAAGGATAAGCTCCCTGGTTTTGCTTCCCATGGTTCCTCCAGTCGTTGGTGCAATTTTCTTCTTAAAAGGAAATTTAAATGATTTGTTTGTTAGTATTCTAAAATAACATCGTTGATTAAACTTTTGTCACATTTTACGCGGGCGAAAAATCTCAATAATATGTCGGCGGATTTTTGACGGCTTATACGAATTGAAATCGGTTCTCAAGGATCAGTCAGGTTTACGAAAGCTCTCGGCAAAATATGAGATCGCAACACACTAGCTACTCAATTATCTGGCAACTCTTATCAGTGTCCTTTTTTCACTTTTTCCTGTCGAAAAATACAATTTGAACTTACCATTTGAACTTTAAAGTTGGGGCGAAGGGCCTCTTTGAAATTAATATCAGGGATGGTGGGGAGGGGGAGGGGTCTTTAAGACGACCCTTCTGCAGAACATTACGAAAATTCCTTTTAAGTTTGAGTTTCCTAACTGCTTTCTGTCCCTTCTCAACAGGCCTTCGAAAAATGCGTTCCAATAATAGGTCACCAAAGTGGTCGTTACGCTTGGTCAAGCTTAGTATGTCACGCGAGTCAAAATAAATCTTGTTTGCGCATAATCGTTTTGACTCAGTTGGAAAACAGGACATCACGTAATCAGAAATTGGCGACAGCTTTGAAGCTGTGTTACACGTCTTTTCCTTGTGTCTATACATGATACATATACCTCTTTCAGGCATGTGGCTTATGTGTCTCTATGCTCTAAAACAATTCTAACAACTAATCAAGAAACAAATTTTTAGTAACGTGATCCAGCTGGGATTGACCTTTCTGCATAAAATGGCTTTGTTTTAATCTAAACTTTTTGATGGCGTAGCTCGATGCACCTCTTAAAATCGTCAAATAAAAGCTGATGAATAAACTGAATACACTTCAATTGAAATTCATGATAAAGAATCTGAAATATATTTTGATGTACAAACGCGGCGCATAGTAAAATTTGGACTGACTTTGCTAGTGACGATTACGAAGATGCCTCTTTCCGCAATTTGTTGTGTGATGGATTCTGGAAACCACAACGGTCCTTAGAAAATGGCAGCGAAGTACATTTTGAAAACAATATGTATGACTTAATATAAGTTAGGTGCAGTGAATGTTTCTAAGGGAGACGCGTTTAAAGCATACATGTATATAATTAGTTCCCACTTCTATAGCCCCGTAGTCAGCGCACTACGGAAACTAAACAATATGGCAAGTCATTCTTCGGCCATAAATGCGAAACTTTTTAAGCTTTCACTGAGAGATATTTCTTTAAATGTAACATAGCTATACGAAATTGATTCAGTGTTTTCTTACCAGACTCGTGCTTCTGTTTCGTCTTCGACGTCTTCGTCGGGTTGTCAAATGTGAAAAGCTTTCTGATGCTGTGAGCGATCTAAATCAACATGGCGTGTCACCTCTTGCTTTTGAATTCTTTTGTAATGGCGGAGAAAAAGACAAAACAGTGAAGAAATCAGCTTGAGGACAAGAAAGCTAACAAATCCACTAGGTTCATCATAGAAACAGCACGAGCGTTCATTCTTATTACCATAAAGCTGTCAGTCGATGACCTTTGAAATCGATGGTTTATTTTGGAAAAGCGCCTGAAGGCTTGACAGTCAAACGATACGAATCAAAACCGACAACTGTCTGGCCACATCCGGCTCAGGGAACCTACTTGCTTTAAACTTGAAAATCCACTTTCAGAGAGTGTTTCTCTCCTTCGACCCATACTGTAAAAGTATCATAGCTGTTTAAAAAATGCTTTTAAGAATCTACTATGAAACAAAATTGAGCCTTTTGTAGTCAGAATGGAACGTCTGTGACTCAGTGAAATCCTATTTTAAAAAACAATAAACGCGAGAGGTCACAAGATTGTTCTAAGGTTTTTGTTTCAACTGATGTCTGTCAGCATTAAGCTCTAGAATGTAAACAGTCAAATGAAATTAAATTTCTCTTGAGGTAAAAGAACAATGTGAGTACTTAAACTACTTTACAATTTTTTTACGAGGGTAGCCCATGATCGTATGCTCCTTCAAGAACTGAGTCAGATTTACGAACATTTTACAACGAAACAAAATATAGTCTGGGGGGTCATCTATCCTCTCCCCCCACTACTACGAGGTGTTACTCGCTGGTTGGTTTATCCATCCAAATAAGCTTTATACTGGTCTGTCGACGAAAAAATCGTTGCAATTACAAAAATGTGAATTTGTTTATATTGTAGATTGATAAAAACCCGCCAGTAAAAATAAATGTACTTCTCCACCGTTTATTAGTTTCAATCAAACTATGTACACATTTAAATATGTTTCATAGAAACTAGAAGACAAGACCGTGAACTAATGCAACCTTTGTCCCAAGGCCTTGGTCCTTACTAAATAGTATCTATTGAAATCTAATTAGATACTCTGAAACTACAAAAGCTTTTAGGATAAGTATAACCAGAAGCCACATAATTGGATACTTGCCATTGAAAATTTATAGAAGCAATTATCAAGTGGGAGTGTTTCAGCTCTTTAAGACCTTTCTTGTCTGATCGATTAGCCTTCGAAATGCGTATGCCGATGTTTTTTCCATTCCGTTTGCTTTACTCCATGCAGTCTCATTTCTTTTGCATCCATCCCCTAGCGATCTATTTATTGTGAAACTCAGAAAACCGTGAGGGCCAGATATGTTATTAGCGTATTATTGTTTTAAAGGAAAAAAGCCAATAGGGTGTCAGGAAACTGAATCTTAAACAGCCACAATAAGCAGCTTGTGGTTTTGAGTTTTCCCTACAAGTCCAGAGGTTAAAAATTATTTGTTAGTACAGGATTGGCCTGTCAGAATCAAATCCAAGTGTTCAAGGTTTTCTGAGTTTCAAAATCAAACAATAAGAAGTAAAACAGAAAATTACTTTTCATTCAAATGCTATTAATTAATTTTTGGCAATAATCAAGTAGAAATCGTTGAAAAGAATCGCGGGAAAGCGCGTTGAGGTTCCCGCCATTTGGATGAGACTCCGTGGCGTCATATCTGCGCAGGCAGGTTACCAAGTTGTGTTTCAAAATGGTGACGTCCCTAATTGTTTTTCGAAAGGCTTTTTTCTCAGATTATCAAACTGCGTTGAAAAGTATATTTCAAAACACACTTTCCAATAGCGAGATATAAATTATGTGGTGAACAAAGTATACTTCTCAGTTAGTTTCCTTATAGAACCACAATTAATTGATTAATTTATACACCATACTAGCTAACCTTTTTATAGTGTTCATTTGTATACATTTTAGAAGTGTTTCAAAGTTGAACAGTAGTCTTTATGCTTTTATGTGGTTTTTATGTTTGATCAGACACAGCCTTTTTCCATTTAAATTGTCAGTTCTGATGAGAATATCTAAAAATTTGAACTTAATAAACCGGGGAAATCTGCGTCCTCAAGACGCAAGAAGATTCACAGCTAGCTTATAGTTTTTTGGCAGCGGTTTAACCACTGATATTATAATAGTAAAACGATGTACATATTACCCGAGACATCTGTTAGGTTCCTTGGACTGTTTTAGCCCTTTTTAGAACCAAGCATTAAACATTCCAATAAGCACCGTACTTTTCATTAACAAAACGTATGTTGGAACATGTATAAAAATGAACAATAAGTAAGATCATCCATGATGAATCCAATTTTTCCGGCAAATTCAGTGAACGTCAGAGGAAAACTTAACGTAATTCCGAAACAAGCAATTAAAATTCCATCAAATATTTCTTACTTAATTTAAGTCTTCCCGCTTAATGTAAATACTGCAATAGTTAGCAAGTACTTGAAAGATATGCAAAGAAATTTTAGTCCACTTTAAAAGAACGAAACCGCTGACTGGTGTTATTCCTTTTAGCCCGACGGGACCGGTGATCTTCGGTTGAGTATCCAAACCAAGAAATCTATCGTTGCGACTGACGAGAAGAAATATGTACCTCGACAATGCAGCACTGATAAACGCACAAGCAAGACAAAATATGCGTAGTTTAAGTTGGGTAGGTTTTCCAGTCTGCTGGGTTTCCTGTGCCTTTGCTCTCCATAGTCTATGTTCTTTGGCTCTCAGAAATCTATACTGGTCTTTTTCAGCGTGACATTTCAAGGATCACTGAACCACTGGATTTATTCAGGCAAAACTCCCATTAATCCTGTCGTTTGTTCCATCGTGAGACTCGATGTAACCAAGCATGGATACATGTCCACTGCACTTCTGTTTTAGATCAAAACTTCTGAGCTAACTTGATCATCGTCAAGTGACTAATGAAAGGATCAAAGACTTTGCCATCACTAAATCCCTAGTTGATCAAATTTTAACATCTGCACCGCTGTTATTGTCGTATGACTCAGCTCGCCCATGAAGCCCATTCTTTTTTTTTAACAATTTCGTCCTATCCACTTGGCGAGGTCATGAAAGAAATATTGACTTCTTTATGCTATTAATCATGTACCGTCTTGACTATTTTCTTGTAATCTTTGAGTATATAAACCGTGATCTATTTATGAGCGCGTTGAGTCGTGAGGAAAGTGATGACACGGAGAAAGGCGGTAGCAATTAAAACGCGACATATGTTTCTATAGACTTGTTAAAGCTTCCTTCTAAAGAACGGGTTATCGAGTTACATGATCGAACGTGGATCTTAGTTTATACACAAACCTCTTCAAATCCAAACACGTTCGATGAGCCGAGCCCAAATGGGCTCAGTGGTCAGCGGCCCAGCGCGAGTAGTCACATGATCAAACAGGGGTCTCATTTTTTACTCGAACTTCCTCCATTCCTGTAAACGCATTAGGTGAACTGAGTGTCATGTGTCCAGATGGGCTGGTCAGTGGCCCGTTGAAGGCGTCAATATCTTCGTTTTGGTCTCTACCACACTCGCCGTTTTCCGCCATATCGAGGGACTGGTTCAATTCCTCCCTTTTGTAGAAGTAGTTGAAATTTGAAACAATAACCGGCACAGGGAGAGCAATGGTCAACACTCCTGATATAGCGCAGATAGAACCAACTATTTTACCTCCCAAAGTGAGAGGAGTCATGTCTCCGTATCTGTAAAAAGAAAGAGACATTTGAACTTGATATAAATGCGATATTAACATGTTTCTTGACTGGTTTGGGTTTTGATAACAACATTTTATTAGAGTCTATGGTTGAGGTTCAGGCATAAACCTAACATTCATGTCACTGACCTTCCTTTCTCCGTTTTACACAGAATTGCAGGTAAACAGATTTTTAACTTTATTTTTAGTTCTGTTTTTGCTCTCCGAGACCAGAGAGGAGCAGATCTGCGCCCACCCCCGATATTGCTTTTTGTCTTTCATAATTTTTTTCTACCTCACTGACATATCTCGCGTATTTTACCCCCAATTGGCAAAACAAGGCTAAGTGCTCAAAAAGTAACAACATGGGGGCAATGTAGCTTAGTGCTCAGATCATATCATCCGGTGCTCTAACTTTCAAGACCGTCGTTATGTTACTCTCTGATCGTGTTGAGATTCTGTCAGCTCGTCTGATAAAACGCGGATGACCAAGTTGAAATTGGTTTAGTGTTGCATCTATTTTGATTAGAGGATGGAGGTTTTTTTGAAAGTAATCACAGGGCGACATAAACCCAAACTAATGCAGTAAACGATTACTTCCAACCCTTGTGAACATTCACGGGTTTCATTTGCCATACAGAGCCTCTTTGGGGAATTTTTAATTCAAATGACATTTATTTACGTATTTGTTATGCTGTCGTACTCCCTCAGTTCGCTTAAAACGTAGCTGTCTAAGCTTTACCGCAGCTTGTGCAATCAGTGAAGGAAAGAAATTCGGGGGAAAAGAGAGGGAGGTTCCTAATATATTCCTTGGCTTATGGTCTTTATAGATAGTCTTTCAAACGAAATTTTGCTTCCAAGACTTCCTGGAGAAGGCTAATCTCAAACTAGAATAAATGGCCATTAAAAGATAAAAATAAGGGTATGGTTCTCACAGACTCTGAGGGATATAATTGAGTTCCACTGAAGAAAAGAAGGCATGGAGACTGCTACACATGAGCTCTCTTTGTCCAATAGAAGTGGTTTTCTCTCGCGTGGTATCTCGTTTCGTGCATAAGAAATCGTAAATATTTTAAAAGGGAGTCTACAAGCTTTTTATCAAACAGTCGCTTAATAATCGTAACCTTAATTTCGTTAAAAGTAGAGACTTCTCTTGATAATACGTGCTCAACTGACTAGAGATAAAAGCTGAATCCAACTAATGGTCAAGCAACTTTAATCACGTCTGTATTTCAACCAAAAGGTTTTAGAGATGCCACAGGATTTCAAAACATGATTTTAATAATTACTATATACATATATTTAACTGATTATTTTCTTTTTCACCCTGCTCTCATCAATTATTCATCTCAGTTAGCCTTGGACGTCTTACCAATCTAATGAAAGAAACTTGGCTACTGTGCACTTATATAAAAAAGGTGTTACTAATCATGATCACAATTCTGTGGCTAAATAGACTAATGATGCCTATTTTGATGAAGTATTTCACCGATATATGAATTATTAAAGCTGCCTCTATTAATCCCGGCGCAAGTTCTTTGTCAAT